CGTTAGGCCTGGGCAGGGGCAGAGCTGGCAATGGCGGGGGGGAGGGAGCTGGCAATGGCGGGGAGCAGGGGCAGAGCCAGAGATGAGGGGGAGCTGGAGGTCCCCTGCCCAGGCCTAATGCCTTGGTCAGAGGCATTAGGCCTGGGAAGGGGTGGAGCCAGCGATGGCGGGGAGCAGGGAGGGAGCCAGCGATTGCGAGAGCTGGGGGTCCCCTGCCCAGGCCTAATGCCTTGGCCACACACATTAGGCCTGCACAGGGGCAGAGCTTGAAATGGCAAGGAGCAGGGCAGATGCCAGCAATGGTGGGGAGCAGGAGCAGAGCCAGCAATCATGGGGAGCAGAGGTGGAGCTGGCATAATGGGGAGCTGGAGGTCCTAAGGACTTGGCCACAGGTGTTAGGCCTGTACAGGGTTGGAGCCGGCAATCATGGAGAGCTGGGAGTCCCCCTGCCCAGGCCTAGTGACTCGGCCAGAGGCGTTAGGCCTGGGCAGGGGCCGAGTTGGCAATTGGTATGAACTACAGAGGAAACACCTTTAATGACTGCTCATTGACTAAGTTCCCTGTATGTCACTGGTAATATTCTTAGTAACCTGGGTAATATGAATACAATAAGGTGATCTAGGTTTTTTTTTACCACACTCCTGGAGAAAAAAAGGAAGGTCCACTGCTGGAGGGCTAAGAAATGTCATATCCTGCCCTAGCTGGTTTTGCTCAGTGGATAATGCCTCGGCCTGCCCACCGCAGTGTCTGGGTTCAATTCTCACTAAGGGCATGTACCTAGGTTGCAAGTTCCTTCCTGACCCGGGCCCAGGTCAGGGCTCATGCAGGAGGCAACCAAAGTGTTCCTCTCACTTTGATGTTTCTCTCTGTCTTTCCCTTTTTCTTCCACATTCTCTAAAAATCAATGGAAACATATCCTCAGGAGAAGATAAAAAAAAAATAAAGAAATGTCATATCCTATGAAAGACACATCTTGAAATGCCTGAAGAAAGCTGTCATTTTTTCATGGTGAAGGGACTGGAGTCCATGTTGATGAAAACACCTTGGTGGCTGCAGTGACTCGCAGTGGCTGCAACAGCGGGGTAATGGGGCTGGTGCCATCCCCTGATCAGCCCAGACACCTCCCACAAAGGGAGGCCAGACTGTGGCTTAGGCCAGCTCCCCAAGGGAGCGGGCCTAAGCCATCAGTAGGACATCCCTGATGGCTCCCAGTATGTGATAGGGGACAGGCTGGGCTGAGGGACCCCACCTCTCCAATGCACAAATTTTTGTGCTCTGGGCCACTAGTATCCTATATAATAAGAGGATAATATGCAAATCAACCAAATGGAATGACCGGTTGCTATGAAGCACAACGACCACCAGGGGGCAGATGCTCAATGCAGGACCTGCCCCCTGGTGGTCAGCCAGAAGATGGGCTGATGCTAGTGAGCACAGCGGCGGAGGCGGGACCCCCTCCCCCCCACAGTGCATAAATGTTGTGCACTGGGCCTCTAGTTTATTTATAGAACAGTATTTTTGAAGACCTAAGAAGGACACGGCAGTGTCCTTATTAAAGGAAGGACTGTGATAAATAAGAAAACTTTGTTGTGACTGTGTCTTGGATTTATTTGTGAAATAAAAAGTTTCTCAGTAATTGACAGTGCCACCAAAGCATTTAATCCAGCAATTTGCAACCAGTGTGCTATAAGAATTTTTAAAACATACAATACCTGACTATTTGGTCAGGGGCACTGACCTCTTTTCCCTTAGATTGTCATATCCTATCTAATAAAAGAGAAACATAAACATGGTAATTGGCGTACGACCGCTACCCTTCCCATTGGCTAATTAAGGCGATATGCAAATTAACTGCCAGCCAAGAAGGCGGCCTGCAGCCAGGAAGCTTGAAACTAACATGAGGCTTGCTTGCTTCAGTGACGGAGGACTCCAACATTCCCCACCTGCTGCTGCAGGCCTCTGAGCTGCAACTCTAAGCAACTATGTAACAAATACCGCCGGACTTCAGCCAGCAGGATCACAACATTGTAAGCAAAGGCCAGAACAC